ACTCATTAAGCCTTGGATTTACCAGTATACAGATAGTCCCCTTGTTTCTCAGAGAGTAGGTTTACCGAAATGATGGGAAACGATAGATGTTCTCCGGTTCCTTCCTCTGTATGTTACGACGAAGGAGTCAAAACGTCCTATCAGTTGAGTCGTTCTGACTTCGAATACGTGTCAATCATCGGTTGGTTGCCTCCGAATGCGAAACGTCACCTACTTCCCTATAAAAGCTTCTATCCTTTGTTCTATTTCTACTTTTTGACCAAGCTTTTACCTTTGAGCTTCCCATCTATCATCTCATAATTGTTCTTAGAGTCTTGCACAAATCTTCTTAAATTCTTCATATCCCGTTGTTCAACCTTCAAACTTGTTCTTCCAAACCTCCATACCTATTCTACTAATCTTCAAATTTTACCAGCCAACAATGGCTAAAACTTCCAAATCAGTTCCCCAACAGGCTGCCTCTTCATTTTCCCAACCGGTTGATGGTATTGAGGCGGTCGATCCCGAAATAGTCATCCTCGAGGCAGCTGCTCCCAATGTGGCTACCACCGAGTTGGCAGCCGCCAAACCGGCTCCTGAGCCCCCTTTGAAAATGTTTATTCCCGAGGGCTGTTCTATTGCGGACGACTTCAAGGTTAAGAAACCTCGCCCAAGCAGGACCGGGGTGAAGGAGCATCAAGGTACATATGCTCTGTGGCCGAAGATGTCCTTCCCATTGTCCGAGAGGATTGTAATTGGGAAAGTAAGGACGTGGTAGTCTATGGGCCTGAGGACGCTATTACTACCCACGTGGATGGGTACTTAAGTGTTTACACTTACCCCTTCACGCTGGGCCCGTGAACCCGGTTATTTTAGATTTTTGCAAGAGGTACGAGGCGTGCCTCAGGTAAATCCACCCATCTCTATAGAGGATCGTGATCCTTCTTCATTACTTCGTAAATAAGACCAAGTCCCATTGGTTTACCTACTCCGTTTATACAGTCCCCGAATCTTTCGAGGGGGACTGATTAAGCTCACTCACAGGGCCAGCAAGGCCCCCTTTTCGAGAATTGATGAAGACCGAGACTGGGGGCTGGTAGGGATGCTTTATTTGGGTAAAGATTGAAAACTTGATCCCTCCCGAGTTCATGCAATTCCCTGAGAAGTGGAATGCATCTCGTAAGTGCAGCCTCTCCTTAAGCGTCAATTGTTCTTCATTTTCTTTCCTTTCATTCACTATTGTGATTGTGCAGCTGTTGCCTGGGTTCCAAATGCGGTCCCCCAGCTTAAGGAGTGGATCGAAGGCATCTGTAAACAGATGTCATACTTCGAGCGCTCATGGCACAAGTTGTCGAAGGGCCGATGGGAGACATGTTCTCATGGTAAGGTTCCCCTTCAAATAGTTGTTATCGTGTCCTCAGCTCACAATAGACTTTTTTTTTAATATATAGGTTTGTCTAAGACCAAAAAGCTTAGGCCTTTAGAAGCGGACGAGGACGTTTCTATTGATCCCTCTGTTATGGGACAACGTCAGGGCTGCTGTGGCGGAAAAGAAGAAAAGGAAAAGAAAACCTTTGGGCTCCCCGGGCCATGAGGTGAAACCAAAGAAAAGGGTGGCTCACAAGCCCGGGAAGAGCACCAGCACCTGGGTGCCAGACTCCGATTCGCTTCTCTGGCTTAGAGATGAGCCAAAAGAAGATGATATTTTCATCGCCCATGGATCGACCCCTCCCAGGGAGTAGGAGGCAACCAAGGGGGAGACTCGTAAGGCCGACCTCCTTCAGACTCGAGAGGTCGATATAGAGATCGGGGGTGGGACCCCCCGGGACGTTGGATCCGCTCCGAAGGAAGTGCCCGGTATGGTCTAGGAGGCCTAAGCAGGGAAGGAGAAGTCTAATAAAGGGATCCATGGTGCCGACGATCCTCTTCATTCCTTTTTTGATGGTGTGGACTCGTCCAGTTTGGAAGACTTTTTCGGGCTGGGTGACCTGGAAGTCCCGAGGAAGGATACATTATTGGAAGTTGGTGGGAAGAGTTCAAGCCCAAAACTGGTTAATCAGTTCCCTACTCCGAACGTGGACCCCGGTCGCAAGAGATCGGTTATCCTCATTGTTCCGAAAGATGCCCGGGTTTTATCTACTCTTGTGGGGGTAGCCAGTTACCTCTGATTCCTGGTGACCGAGGAGGACCAGGCAAAAACGAACAAGGTGGACGTGTCGTGTCTTTTCAACAAGGCACAGCAGGCGTTGAACTGGTTAAGGCGTCATTACGTCTTTTTGAATTTTACTTATGTTTGGATATTTCTCATGACTTTCTTTGTTTTGCAGGCCTCGGTACTTCATTATGAAAGCTTCCTCCGGTACCAAGTCGAGGTCAACCAGCTCGAGCTAGAGCTCAAGGACCAAGCATAGAAAAGGGATTCGTACAAGCTCCTCAGCTAGCAAGACGACTGGATCATTAAGGACCTTCAGGCCGAGCTGGATAGGACTCAGAAAGAAGCATCGGTCCTGAGGCGGGAGCATTCCGACTTGGTTGAAAAGGTAAAGGTCTTTGAAGTTAGAAACAAGAAACTAGTCGTAGAGGCTAACGACCAAACCTCGTAGGTCCAGTAGAAGATCGACCAGATCGACCAACTCCGAAAGCAGATGGACGAGATTCAAGTCATGGCCGATGGGTCGAAAAGGAAGATGGATCTGCTGGCATCGGAGAAGGAGACCATCCAGGCAAAGCTGTCTTCGGTAGAGGTTCAGCTTTGGGTGGCGAAGGAGAAAGCTGATAAACGGGCTCAGCTAAATGAAGATCTCCAAGCATAGCTGTGCTCGACCACCGCAGAACGGGATGCCCTTGTTAAAGAGCCTGAAGCAACGAGGTCCAAGCAGGAGACAACCTCTGTTGATGCTGACGAGATGGTGGCCTAATACAAGGCTGATGTCGAAGCAGCCGAGGCTCTTATGAAGACCAATACCGAATATGTGAGGCGGCTGTCTCGAAGGGGACCCTCGAAGAGATCCATGCCCGAACTTCGACTGGACGACCGAGATCCAAAAGGCTAAAAGCCTTGAGGCCGAGGCAAAAAAACTATACGAGCCCGAAGGTACGGAGGGCTCCGAGGGTTCCAAAGGATCCGAAGGCCCCGATGGTTCTGGTGACGAATCGGGCTCTGGTGAAGATCAAGCGTGAATGCCTGAGAAATTTTTAGTTTTTATGTAGTGTACATAGTTTTTGTTTATTTTGAGGCTGTTTTTGTTAGGGCTTTGTAAAGATATTCTGGAATATATAAAATTTTCCCTTTTGGCAATTTCAAGTCTCTACTTTGTTAGCATCTTTTTACAATTTCTATTCTTGCAAATATTTCTAATGCCTTAGCATAGAACCAAATGTAGTAATAAGTCGTTTGTTTTTCGGAGGTCCAAATAGAACCTGATCTCGATGCAATTTTTTATTTGGTTGAAGCTTTGAAAAATTAGGGTGACCGAAAGTTTTCCCAAAATGCTTAAGTGTTCTTAGATGATACTTTTGCCAGGATAACCTTTTGGCAGGTTTTGAATTTTTATCGAAGGCCTTACACTTTGATTACGGGGGTCATATCCTTTTAGGTTTCGGCACTACCTAATAGGTTTTGTGCCTTTGGGTTTTGATAACCCAAGTGCCCGAACTTATTTCGGACGACAGTCCCCGAGTAGGGGTAGCCCTTAGGCTTGATAGTCCCCGGGTAGGGATAGCCCTTAAGCTCGATACTTTAAAAGGAAAAAATACGTAATAGCAAGGTGAAAACTTTCTTTCATTTCTATGTATAAAGTACATGATTGAAAGCGTGTAAAATCTTGTAATATGGCTAAGGTGGCCTACACGAGCACGGTTCACTTAACCGTTTTGCCCATAGAATAAATCCTAACCACCGAGCCTAGGCTGTTCAAGCATGAAATTTCCTTCTTTCCTTTCTAAGAAGCTTAACCCGAGGGTGATGGACTCCAGTATTCGAGGTCGATCTTGACAAGGCTTGGATATTATTGATGCAACCATTGATTCCGATTTAAAATCGGTCTTCAGATCTAAGTTAGCACGATTCACTGTTGCCTCATTAAAAACCTTGCTGGAAAACCCATTTGGGACAAAACTGGTTCAAGGGAAAAAGAGTGCAACACGTGCTTTCAGAAGTTATAGTCACATTCTCCTTTGGTTGCCAAAGGTACATCTAAGGATGTATTGCGACAAGCTCGTAGGGGTTGGTAAAGATGAAAGAATCCACATGAAGATGTTCATGAGGAGCCTCATTGGATACGCCCTATCCTGGTACATCCGTCAAAATCTGAAGAAGTGGATTAATTGGGTAAGCATGGCGCTAGATTTTATGGATCGGTTCAGATTCAACACAGAGAATGCACCGGACGTCTTCTATATCCAGAATCTTAAAAAGAAGTCGATAGAAACTTTCTGCGAGTATGCAGTTAATATCATAGGACTGAAATAAAACAAACTAAACTTACGGACTCAAATTGCAAAACCGAGAAGTAATAAGTAAAACTCATGGCCCTTACATTTTAAAATGATTCTTATTATTTGCTTATTAGTCCCAAAGATTGACATATTCCTATACTTCTCTAACGAGAAGTACTTATAGCCACGCAAATTATGATTAGTTTAATATAACAAGTTTTAAAAGTTTTATAGCTATACAAATATTATAGCAATGGAAATATTTAATACCATAAATTTCAAAAGTCTTAATTTCTTTATTACTAATTGTGCCAAATCAAATCAGGATAAATAAATTGAAGTGAAGCAATTAATTAATCAAACACCCCTTCATTAATAAGAAGATGGATCCGATCGATCCGGATGTTCGATGTTCTATTTAAGATGGTTGGTTATTGTCTTGTAGAGTGTAATGCCAAAGATTAGAGAGGGTAAATGGAATTTACTTATTTTAAAATCAAGCACAGTCCTCGGAGACTATCTCTATAAATAGCTTACCATCTCATCATGTGTGTCGTCAACTCATCCCCATCTCAATGCAAAATATGAATATGATGAGAATGAAGCTGAGACACTACTGTACATTTGCAACTCTTTCACTTCTCGCTTTGTTACTGATCATCCCAAGGGTGTTGGCCGCACAATGTGTTCAGCAAGCCAGTCTACGAAAACCAGACATAACCGAAATTATTAGCAGTGAATTATTTGACAAGCTGCTGTTGCATAGGAACCACAATGATAATTTCTAGGTTCTCGAGTAAACTGCATTGCTACCTTGGTTTTCTTAATTTGATCTTCAAACTGGCAACTTCGGCGAACTACTTATGTTAAGTTCCTAACTTGTAAGATATATCCTTGAACAGGTGGTTGGCCAACTGCACCTGATGGCCCTTATACATGGGGTTACTGCTTCAAAATCCAAAGAGGCAACCCTGATTCCCACTGCAAACCAAGCGTTGAGTGGCCGTGCGCTCCCGGCAAGAAATATTATGGACGAGGCCCCATCCAAATTTCATAGTATGTTCTCTTCACTTTTTTGCACACATCCATTGAGTGGCACAACGTCTATTTTGTAAATCTACTAGTGCTCTGCTTTAAGATATTTTGCCTTGAATCTTGATATACTAACTAGAGGTACTTATAATTTTAATTGTATTTTAAACCATGTTAATGCAGCAACTACAACTATGGGCCTTGTGGAGATGCAATAGGAGAAAACCTCCTAAGAAATCCTGATTTGGTGGCCGCTGACAGAGTCATCTCATTCAAAACTGCACTTTGGGTCTGGATGACTAGTACTTCAAAACCACCAATGCCTACGTGCCACGATGACATTCTCGGGAAATGGAAACCGTCCACATCAGACACAGCAGCCAATAGGCTCCCTGGTTACGGGGTCATCACAAACATCCTCAACGGAGGATTAGAATGTGGTCATGGTTTTGACGAGAAGGTAAAGGATCGAATTGGCTTCTACTTGAGATACTGCAAAATTCTAGGTGTTAGCCCGGGAGAGAACCTTGACTGCGGCAACCAGAAGCCTTTCGGACACTTCAACTCTATATATGTAGAATAATTAAGCTACTCTCAATAAGAAGGTGGCTTTATTAATTGCACATTTTAATTCATGAAATGGATGTTTGTAATCATGCTCATGTGACGCTATATGATAAATAATTGAGGTTTTCATATATCCTCTATATAGTAACTGTATTAATTATTAACTGTGTCACTCTGTGTGATAATGGGGGTGTAAGACAATAGAGCATGTATATGTACTCTCTGAGGTTATCTGCTACAAAGTCCTATTTTATTGGAAATTAGAAATAGCTCAACCATTTACAGAGTTAATCATTCCTCTTTCTCCACAAATTAAATTAAAGAAGGTAAGAAGCAAAGCAGGAGAACTAATTAGCCTACAATATGCACTCGTGACTGGATTTCTTTTCTTCCTTAATTAGAGCTGAAAAAACAAATATACTTAATTAAGTAGTTTACTATTGTAAAGTTGCCTTTTGAAAAATAACAAAGAATTCTTGCTATCAATGATTTGTTGATAATACTTTAACTAATATATTCGTTTTGTAAGACAAACGTTAGCACGTTATTGGATCTTTTCGGATTACTATGTGCCTAGAACATTGTTAACTATAGCATATAATACAGACTTGAGTATGAAACAAAGTTGCAGGATCAACTTTAAATTTATGACAGATCAGCTGTCCAGAAGCAGAATATTAATGTGGGGCAGAAATGATTAAGGGTTATTTAAATTTATATCCCGTTTCACCATTTTATTTGAGTGAATGATTACGTTACTCTATTAATGTTAAGTATAGAATACAAATCCATTCCTATCACCCTTGTAGGGCATGAAAAGCTGAAATTGGTTAAACAGAATGAAACTTGACTCTCAAGTTGGCTAAACGTCATGGCTGTGTGAACAATTGATATATCTCCTGTTCAATTTTGACAAGATTAATGTGAACTAGTGTAAATATTTGAAGCTTCCTTTTAGGAAGAAATTGGTAGATATATTTTTTATGCATTTACATTGCATGTTCACACTTAATATGATGTCATGCATGACATTATTAAGGTCATTTCCCTTCTATAAATAGCAAGGTTTTTGTTCATTTGTAAATATCTCTCACTTGCCTTCTTATCTCCTATGGCATTTGAATCTTCTTTCTCTCTTGTAGTATTTCACTTGTATTTTTGGAGTGAAATAAATTTGAGTTGATTGTGTCCGAAGACTAGGCAAAAATCAAATTTTGCCGAACCTCGTTAATTTCTGATATTCATTTTATTATTGTCTCATTTACTATTTATTAGCTACTTTTAGATATAGTAGTTGTGATTTAATCACTCTCTATATATTCGACTTCCGCAATAATTGGTATCAGAGCCAAGGTTCTATCTTAGTATGCTCAGTGGTTGCAGCATAGTCTGAACTTCCACATCAGAAAAGAATTACTTTGGTGTTCTGTACTGTCAGCAAATAAATAGTATCTATAGCAAAATGGGAGATAATAAAAATGAAGAGTCCACATCGGGTGTCAGTAATACGTCGTTGGCATCTTCGCTTATGACAAGAATTATGTCAAATGCGAAATTTGCAGTTAAAATATTTGATGGGTCAGGACATTTCGGGATGTGGCAAGCTGAGGTTCTTGATGTCTTTTTTAAACAAGGGCTAGATATTACCATAGAAGAAAATAAATCAGACAATATCGGAGAAGGAGATTGAAATATTATCAACCGCGTTGCTTGTGGTACCATTCGATCTTACCTCGCAAGAGAACAGAAGTATCCATACACAAAAAAAACTTCTGCAAGTAAATTGTGGAATGCATTGGAGGATAAATTCTTGAAGAAAAACAGTTAAAATAAACTTTACATGAAAAAACGATTATTGCGCTTCACATATGTTCCTCGTACTACAATGAATAATCACATCATCAGCTTTAATAAGCTGGCGATAGATTTGCAGAATATGGGTGTGACCTTTAGTGATGGAGATATGGCCTTAATGTTATTAAGTTCACTTCCCGATGAATACGAGTACCTTGAAACAACTCTACTTCATGGGAATGATGATGTATCTCTCAAAGAAGTTTGTTCTGCCTTATACAGCTATGAACAAAGAAAGAGAGAAAAGAAAAAGAGTGGAGAAGGAGAAGCACTGGTTGTGAGAGGTCGTTCTCAAAATCATATGAGAATGAAGAAAGGAAGATCCAAGTCAAGATCCAGACCTAGCAAAGATGAATGCGCCTTTTGCCTAGAAAACGGGCACTGGAAGAAAGACTGTCCAAAGTTGAAAAACAAGGCCAAACCTAACAATGGGAAGACTGTCATGGATTCAAATACAGTTGATTATGACGACTCTGATTTCTCACTAGTTACAAATGAGCCATTCAAACCATCTGACATATGGCTGATGGATTCCGCTTGTAGCTATCATATGTGTCTCAACAAGAACTGGTTCGTTGATTTTCAAGAAGGAGAATGTGGAGTTATTCACACCGAAAATAATAATCCTCTTACCGCATATGGTATTGGTTCATCCAATTAAGGAACCATGACGGATTGATCAGAACATTAACAGATGTTTGATACGTACTGGAATTGAAGAAAAATCTCATTTCTGTAGGAGCTCTGGAGTCAAAAGGGGCTCAAAGTCGTTGAAAAAAATGGGGTAATGAGAATATGCTCTGGTGCACTAGTGGTAATGAAGGGAATTCGGCGAAATAAAAACATGTACCACTATCATGGTAGTACAGTTATTGGGACAACAACAGTGACATCCAGTGATGACAAGGAGGCAGAAGCAACCAAGCTATGGCACATGCGCTTGGGACATGCTGGAGGAAAATCCTTAAAGATTTTATCAGATCAAGGATTGTTAAAAGGAGTAAAGACTTGCAATTTGGAGTTTTGTGAGCATTGTATCAAGGAAAAATAGACAATGGTTAAATTTGGAACAGCTATCCATAATACTAAAGGTATTTTGGATTATGTTCACTCTGATGTTTGGGGTGCTTCCAAAACACCTTCATTAAGTGGGAAACATTATTTTGTAATATTTATTGATGACTTTTTCCGAAGAGTGTGGGTGTATACTATGAAAACTAAAGATGAGGTACTGGTAATTTTTCTCAAATGGAAGGCGATGATAGAGACTCAAACAGGCAGAAAGATAAAGTGTCTCTACATAGATAACGGTGGAGAATACAAAAATGATCTTTACAATAAAATTTGTGAAGATGATGGCATTTTGAGACATTTCACCGTCAGAAATACACCACAACAGAATAGAGTGGCAGAACGCATGAACTGAACTTTGCTGGAGAAGGTTCGGTGTATGTTGTCCAATGCTGGCTTGGAAAGAGAATTTTGGGCTGAGGCAATAACATATGTGTCACGACCCAAAATCCCACTACAGGCGTCGTGATGGCACCTAGTCTCTAAGACTAGGTAAGCCGATTTAGATTACCTTTTGAAGCCATTTTTTTTTTAAACTAACAGCGGAAATAGTTACAATACATAACCTCCCAAAACTGGTAGTACTGAGTCAAGAACTCTAACTGAATACATGGAATGATCACGATGACCGAATATACACTACTGTTTGATTACAAAATAACAGTACAATGAAATAAAAAGACTCCAAGGGACTGCGACGACCAAGCAGCTCTACCTTATATCCTTACGATCGCGCTTTAACTTTGCTCAAGTCCGATATCTCCAATACCTGGCTCTGCACAAAAATGTGCAGAAGTATAGTATGAGTACACCACGGTCGGTATCCAGTAAATATCAAGACTAACCTCAATGGAGTAGAGACGAGGTACAGTCAAGACACTCATTAGTCTAATAACCTGTGCAATATAATATACAAAATAATAGGAAACAAATAATAATAATAATAATAATAATAATAATAATAATAATAATAATAATAATAATAATAATAATAATAATAATAATAATAATAATAATAAGGGCAGGATAAAACAGCCAGTGATATGCACAACAGACAACCAGAATACCATTAATATCACTCAACAATTAATAAATACAATTATATCCAATTAATTCAAGTCCTTCAAATAAATGTCTTTCACATATAATTCTTCCAGATAACTCTCTTTCAAATATAATTTTCTCAAATAATTATTTTTCAAATATAATTCTTTCAATAAATCTTTTCAAATATAATTTCCTCAAATAAATATCTTTCAAATACAATTCTTTCATATAATACTTTCTAAGTAAAAATTCTTCCAAATAAATATTTTGAATATAATTATTTCGATTAAAAAGTCACCATGTGATACCTCATTTCATAATCATAAAAATACGGGTCTCATCCCATTTTCATATTTTTCGTAAACACGAGTCTCAGCCCATTTTCATATTTTCACGGCACCTCGTACCCTTAATTATATCATATTTCCCCGGCACCTCGTGCCCTCATTTCATATCACAACTGCACGGACAATTCACGTGCTAATTATCATTATCATTTCATCACAACATCTCGTGCCCACATTTCATATCACAACTGCACGGACAATTCACGTGCCAAATATCCTCATTATTTACTCACGGCACCTCGTGCCCACATTTCATTTTGTAATCCGCATGGCAATAGCCACAGGATCTCAAATCCAACGTAAATCATATTGTTATCAATTTATCAACAACAAGACAAATTGCACAAGGTATAAAAATAAACACAAGAAAATCACAACATCATCACATATCGTCCCTGACAATAGCCACCCTTATCGCTCATATTGCCACCCTTATCACTCATATAGCCACCCTTATCGCTCTGCATAGACAATATCAATAGCCACCCTTTTCTCTCTTATTGCCACCCTTATCTCTCCTATAGCCACCCTTATCGCTCCGCCCCGACAATATTTCAACAAACACAACAATAGTAAAATGGCACCCTTATAACCACATAATATCAATGGTGAAATGCCACCCGTATCTCCCCAAAATAACAACTCACACAACACAACAATTTACACAGGAAATTATCACAGCAACATAACAAAAATC